ACTGAGCCACTCAGGCGCCCCCCTTTATTTATTTTTTTAAAAATATTTTATTTATTTTAGAAAGACACAGAGAGAGAGAGCAGGGAGAGGAGCAGAGGGGGAGACAAGAATCCCAAGCTGATTCCATGATAGCATGAAGCCCACTGCGGGCCTCGATCCCATGACCTGAGCCGAAACCAAGAGTCCATCACTCTACCAACCCAGCCACCCAGGCGCCCCTCTATTTATCCTTTAGATCCCAGCTTAAAATCACCCCCTTGCCCACTCACCCCTAATCACGAGTCCACCTGGTATATCCCTGCACTTTTCATTCTTAGCATATATCACTGCTTGTGTTCATATATTAATTTGTGCGGCTTGTTGATTCTGGTCAGCCTTCCCACTGGATTAGAAGGTCCAAGCGGGCAGGGACCATGTCCTAGTCTCCCCTGGCCTGGGACTGACCACAGCAAAAATGAAGCAGGAGCTCATCTACAATTACAAGCACACCACTCCTAGCAAACACTTGCAGAGCCCTTGTTAGGTGCAGATACCGTTCCGGGTCTTTCATGTGTATTAACTCATTGGACTCTCAACTGCAGCCCCATCGTCCTCATTTCATAGATGGGGGAGCAGAAGCAGTAGGGGGTTCAGTCGCTTGCTCAAGGTCACAGAGCTAACAAGCATCAGAGGTGGGTATGAACCCAACCTCTCTGGCTCCAGAATTGGTGTACTTAACCATCAGACCACACTGCGTCTCCTAGAATGGGCACTCTCTCCCTCTCTCATCCTCTGTGGTATGTATATGGTAAACGTTTAGCGATTCTCTCAACGATCCTCTAATTGTTAATACAGTTCTCTCCGCAACCAGGGAAGGCCGGCCACATTTCAAGTGTGTCTACAGCTCACGCAAAAGGGTTGTCTGGTCAATCAAATCAAAATACGACACTGGTACTGTAAAGATACAATAAAATGGGAGCAATTGACTCATCAGATTCTAATGTATGAGTTTTCTCTACTTGTTCAAAATGACCCCATAAATTATGATTTTCTTGAGCTTCAGTTTGAACAAACCCACTGTCAGGGAGGCATCAATAGTTAAACTGAACAGACGAGGTGGTGGCTTGAGAAGAGTGACAGGAACATCTCTAGCTGGTTTGGAGCGTGAGAAGGAGGTTCTTTTGAAGGCCACGTGGGATGGCAGGCATTTCCATTCATCCTACAGGGACTGCCTTCTTGGGTATGGAGGGATTGCCCCCGGCTCTCCTGTCCTGCTCCCAGGTTCTGGCATGACCCATGAGTTCTGTGAAGGTCCTATGGGATAGAGTTGGGGGGTGGGCGCCAAATGGCTTTGTGGCTGGAGCTTCTTGGGATTCTTATGTGTCACCCACACACAGGCAGCCATTAATTTTTTTTTTTTTTAATCAGCTGTTAGTCTCCTCATTCCTGCTATGGTGGTTTTGCTCACATTTCCCCTGTGCTCTCAGAGGTTAAAACAGACATGAACCTCTTCCATCCTAGGAAGGGCTCACCTCCTTCTGGAATTTCATTAATTTGGGTGTTTTTTATCCCATATTTCTAATTTTTTTTTTTTTGACAGAGAGAGAGAGAGAGCAAGAGAGGGAACACAAGCAGGGGGAGTGGGAGAGGGAGAAGCAGGCTTCCCGCTGAGCAGGGAGCCCAATGCGGGGCTCGATCCCAGGACCCAGGACGCTTAACGACTGAGCCACCCAGGCACCCCGTTTTTTAATTTTTTTTTAAAGCTATGTTTATTTTAGCTTAACCAGCTTATTCTCACTGTTAGGAAGGAAGCAATGATCCTTTGCACCTTTACAGTGTTTTTTGTTTTTAATCTTCCTTCTTATTTTTAAATATTTATTTATTTATTTTAGAAAAGGTGGGGGAGGGAGTGGCCGAGGGAGAAGGAGAGAGAGAGAATCCCAAGCAGGCTCCACACCCAGGGTGGAGCACGATGCCGGGCTCAATCTCAAAACCCTGAGACCATGACCTGAGCTAAAATGAAGAGTCTGATGCTCAACCAACGGAGCCATCCGGGGGCCTCATGCACCCTTACGGTGTAACTGGAAGGTAAACATTCCAATAGCTGATTTTTGAATGACTACTTAGGATTCTGACCCACTCATGGGAGTTTGTCATGACCAGGCTCTAGAGGGAGATTTGAACATGTTTTTTCCTGATCTTTCACAACCACTACACTTATAAAACATAGTTGACTTTCCCACTCTTTTTTGGGTGCTCAGTATTTTGTGGCGTTTCGGGTTAGAGGAAAGAGAGTTGATGGATAGAACCGTCTTCTTTCCCTCATTCCTCACCCTTGATCCTCTGCTCCATCACTAGAGAGCAGGTTGAACTTGAAGGCTTCAGGGACAGTAATGTTGGACCCACATTTTGATCAGATTGTCTTCTTTTGACTCTGTTAGTCTATTTCCCACCAGGATCTTTCTACTTTGGAAAAAAGAAACGTGGAAGGAGCTTTGGAGCTGAGGAATGGGTAGAGGCTGGAGGGGTTTTGGGTTGCATGCTAGAGAAAGCCTACACTGCCTCGAATAAAATGTGATTTAAAATACGGACGGTGCATGTCATTCTCATGAGGTCTCAAGCAAACACGAGGAACATGTTCATGGAAACTGGAATGAAGGTGATCCTTGCGTTAAAGTGGCACAGAAATTGACTGAACTGTGTTCTAGTCTTTTATAGGAAGGTAGAACTTGGGAGCAGCAAGATTGATCTTTAGCTGTGGAGATTTCAAAGCAAAGCGTTGGAGGAGTGGCTTGATCTTCCTGACGTCTTACGTAAAAGTGCAAAAGGAGAAAGATGGATGGAAGAAGGTTTGTTAAACAAACAGGAGTGGGAATTTGAAGATCTGGCAAATTCTCAGCCTTATTCGCATTACAAAAAATGAGAAAGCTTGATCTGAAGAGAACAGTAAGGGTGTGGCTGAACAACGGGGCTGATGAATAGATCGTGGGTCAGACTCCTGGATTACCCATGCATCTCTGCGGGAGCCAGGAATACAGATGGGATGATACCAAACAGGACAGAGAGAATGGGACGGAGTGAAGGAGGGGTTGTGGCATTTCTTGGATCCTACAGGACCTGGCCACACAGGTACTCAGCTGTGGAGGTGCTGTTCTTCAAGGAGAGGGAAGAAGGATCCTGCAGGTGATTCAGAGGTCATCACGGCTGTCACTTCCACCACCGGTCCAAAGACAAGGCTGTTTCCCCCTTGGTTTCAAAGGCTGGGGCTGGGGCTGTGTCTCTGGTTTCTGCCAGAATGACCCCACCCAGTGCCTCAGGGGATGGGGCTGCCCCCACCACTCCCCCAGAGCCTTGCAAGGCAGGGCACTGAATGACAGAGGATTATTCTCGAACCTTAAAATCTAATGGAATTTGCCTTGCTAGGTTTTGGATTTACTTGGGATCCGTCACCCCTTTCTTCCTTCTGAATTGTCCTTTTTGGAATAGGAACGTCCATCCTATGCTTGTCCTATCATCGTGTGGAGGGACATAATTTGTTTAGTTTCATAGCTTCACAGCTAGAGGGGAATTTGCCTTGGGGTGACCCATACCCGATTTCAATGATACTTATTATTTTTTTGAAGATTTATTTATTTATTTGAAAGAGAGAGGGAGCAGAGAGAGAGAGAGACAGAGTGCAAGCAGGGGGAGGGGCAGAGGGAGAGAATTACAAGCAGACTCCCCACTGAGCAGAGAGCCCAAGCAGAGCTCCATCCCACGACCCTGAGATCATGACCTGAGCCTTAACCAAGTATCGGACACTTAACCAACTGAGTCACCCAGGTGCCCCTCAAGGATATTTAGATAAGACTTTGGACTTTTGATTTTATACCTGATGCTGGAATGAGTTAAGACTTTGGGGGTATTGGGATGGAATGAATCTTTTGCATAAAAGAAGGACATGAATTTTGGGGGGCCAGGGGGTGGAATGCTATGGGCTGAATTGTGTCCCACCCCCAATTCATAAGTTGGAGTCCTAATCCCCCATGTGACTGTTTTTGGAGACAGGGCCTGGAGGTGGTAATTAAGGGTAAAGGAAGTCCTAAGAGTGGAGCCTGAATCCCATAGCAGTGTGGTCTTATAAGAAGAGGACAGAGAGAGAAGCCTATCCGCAGGCTAGGAAGAGAGTTTTCACCAGGAACTGAATGGCCAGCACCCTGGTCTTGGACTTCCAGCCTCCAAAACTGCAAGAAATAACCCTCTGCTGTTTAAGCCTCCCGTCTTTGTCACGGCAGCCCGCTGTCCTGTCTTGATCCGAACATCCCGCCCGATGTTCCCGAAACCGTTCCCAAGTTGGCAGCCTGTCTTGTCAATCATAGTGTCAGCAGGTGTTACCTCAACCCAATCCCCAGACACCAGAAACACCCCCTCCCCCTCGATGCCACCCTGCAGTGTCTTTGTAACAAAAACCCCATAGCTTTGCCTCTTTTTCATTTGTTTTATTAGCATCAATATATACAAAGTGGAAAATGACTTAACTTCATTATTCTAGCTTAGAAAGTTTGTTTTGCTTTTTATTCTGTTTGGGGATAAAATGAAAATGAAAACGTCCCAGGAGAAAGCCTACCTTTAAGGGTGCTGGACAACTCCATAATATCTGACCTCGCATGACCGCCCCGTCCCCCACCCCCATGACTTCTCAAGGGCATAGGAAAGTCATACCCTTCGGATTTACCCCCAAAGAAAGGTCATTTTTGCCCAAGGCTTATGCTCAGCCTTAATCTACCCATATATTTGCCAAGTCACTTCTGCTTATACAACCCATCCTAATTATGTCGTCGCTTTGCTTCCTGCTGGGCAGTTTTGCAGTTTCCAAAGCTATCAGCCTGAGTTACTGGAGGCTTTCCACGGAGCTGGCTTCAAAAAATATTTAAAGCATGTCTATGGAACTAAGTAGGATGGCCCTCAAGTTGCAACCAGCATACTTATGTTGGCTAAATAATTCTACTCCTCCCCAGCGCCCCCCCCCAAAAAAAAGCAAAAAGAGGAGCTCCAAGATGAAAAGGATCGAGTGTGTGCATTTTCAAAGCACAGGGCAGTAGCTGACAGATACAGCTTACAGGAATTAGCATGTAATACACACCATCACATGCATTCTTTGAAGCTCGAAATCTCTGTAAACGTATTTCCCCACTGTTTTAAAAACAAAGAGTGGCTTGTAGGAAGGTTCAGTTGGTTCTTGAGTTGCTCAAGATTGTATCCTGTTCAAAAATATTTAATCCCAAGGGGTTTTGACATAGATCTTATAAAAACAGACACGTATGAGCTGAAATGAGACGCCCAGTACATTTTTGGCACTATTATTATGTTTTTACCTTTACATGTTACAAATACACATTCAGGTATTCTAAAAAGAAAAACAGACACCAACCTGTCTTTCCAATCACACTGGACATTGCCAAGCTCACACGATCCATCTCTAGGTGAAAATAAACTTTTAAAACATGGTCATAGGTGCTGTGCTACTAAAGACATAAGACAACGGTATCCTGAAAAAAAAAAAAATCAACACCTTTTCTATTCCTCCAACAGCCAATAAGGATTCTTAGGCCACTTTTAGGGAACAGGTTAGAATAAAGATTTCATATTTTGTCAGTCTCGACAAAAGACAAATGTTTAGTTTGCACGTAACCACAGTATGTTCTAAAATTAAATATCATTAATAGAGTTCTTCCTTCCAGGTGACCCAGGGTTAGGGTTAGAATAAGCATCAAATGGAAATAAAAGCAAAGACTGGATTCTGCCTTTTTAAAAAAAGGGTACATTATTTGCATCGTTGAACCTTCTCCAAATATGACATTGCTTACTAATGGTCTGGAACAATTCTCCTCTGGTTGTTTTTTGTTTTTGTTTTGTTTTGTTTTGCATAAAATGGGGTGAGTTTTGGGTGGCTGGAAAGCAGCCTTGAATTATCTCTTGCTGTGCGTCATGAATGCATGCCTTAAGGAGCATATAAGCAGGATTCTTTTCTGGCAGAAGAAAATTATTGGGCCTCAGGTCCCCCAAGATTGAAGCCCAAGCTTCTAGCCAGGAGGAGGCAATGTGTATGTCAAAACCAACTGCCCTACCCTAGCTCCAGAGCTGCCTAGACAAGCTACCAAAATAGGGACCATGTAACTATGTGGGGGAAGCTCCCCATGGGCATCTACAGTCACAGCTTAAGGGGGGCCCTGCTGAACAAAGGGATCAGTTCTTGCACCTGCAGCATAAATTCCCTTCCCTTTCATTCTTGGTGGAGGGTCAGAAGAAAGAACATTTTACTAACTTCACTCAATGCCCCCCCTCACCCCCGCACTCTCTCTGAATTCTCAAATCTCTCATCTACCCTACAACATTTTTTGATTCTACCAGCATCCAGTGAGGCCAGGGTGGCAGATGAGAATGCTCATGGTCACACCTTTGCCGCCTTCGGAAGGATCATGGGAGGGAGGGGATGTGGCGAGACCTTCTAGAAGCTAAGAGCATTTGGAAGAGCGGACCCGGGATTTGTTTTGGAGCAGACCTGTTCAAGCTAAAGTCCGACCCAAGTTAATCCATCAAGAGATACCCTTTCCAACCTAATCCTGGGGCTTGGATTTGTCCTAAAAGCACCAAGGGCATGGATCCCAAATGCGTGCAATTTGATGCAGCAAGAGCTGCAGGTGATGGCCCCTGCTGTTGGGGAAACCCAGCTGCTTTTTTTTTTTTTCCCTTTGCTGCCATGTTGGTCATTTTGCAGGTCATCTGCCTGCCTTTGGAAAGGAGATTGTCACATGGATTTGGCCGCAGCTGCGACACCTCCAAACACACCTATTTCAATTTTAAATATAATAAATACAGCGAAGAAAACAGTGAATCTTCAATAAAGAGTCTAAAGAAAAGACAGACAACATTCTGGGGTTTCAATCAAATGCCATGTGGTCTCTGGATGAATTTCTCAAGGAGGTTGTAGTTGAGTTCCGATCTGCGAGCTCCCTTCTCAGGAGTAGCTGTCCTTAAATGGAAACTTCATACTCCCTGGTTTCCTGCAAGAGAGAGAAGCACAGATTGGGTAAACCGTTGGGTGGTGGAGCCACAGGCAGAGCGTGCCTTGAGAGCCTTTAGTCCTAGCCGAGGAGGTGAAGACTGTGGAGAGCAGAGCCGAGTCACCCGACCAACAACCTGCCCATCCCAGATGTGTGAGTGAGCACAACTGAGCCAGGATGACCACCCAGCTGCAACAAGCTGAAAACACCACCCCGCAGACTGATGAGCAAATTAACATCGCTTGCTTTAAGCGACCGAGTTTTGGGATTATTTGTTACTCAGCTTTATCATAGTGCTGGGTAGCTGATACACTATGCTAATAAGTATTCGTAAGATCTAGTTTCTGAAGTGCTCTTTTTTTTTTTTAATCAGCTTGACCTTCTTTTCGGATTTGGAAACAAGGTATATAGAATGTAAAATAACATACGACCTCTTAGCAGTGCCATATCGAAAATGACTATAACACGCGGGCGGCAACCCCTTCAATTTCTCCAATATTCGTCAAGTGTGTGTAATATATTCCAGGCCTTCAAGGCAGAGGAGCTGGGAGATATAAGAAGTCAGAGCCTTGGCCCCAGAAGAGGTCATTGCCACATGCTTTCATGGAGGTCTACTGTTCCTGCTGGGTCAACACAGATAAGCAAGCACATCTATGGTAGATGGGAGTATGGTGGGAAGACTCAAAGGTGGGCCCCCTTCTCCTCACCTCCTGGTGGTCACATTCTTGCATGATCCCCTTTCCTAAGTGTGGGCAGGACCTGTGATTTGCTTCTAACTTGTAGAGTACAGCTAAGGCGCTAGGATGTCTTGACCATGCATCATGGTGCCCTGCAAATTTTCCATGGTCCCTAAAAATGATGATTTGTTATAATCAAGATCCCCTTTGGCCTATTTGATTGTTTGAGGTTCAAGGGAGGCAGGATAATATAATGATTAATGGCATCAGTTTGAATTTGTATCTTGGCTCCAAGCCGTGCTTTTGGCTGTGTGCAACCTTGGCCAAATCATCTGTTTGTCTCTCTCACCCTCAGTATCGTCATCATTCCATCAGAGGTAACTGCATGGTATACAACAGAGTTGCTGGGATTTGGGCAGCTTATGCATTTAAGGTGCCCGGCTCATGGTACATATTCTCCTTTTTTTTTTTTTTTTAAGATTTTATTTATTTATTTGACAGAGAGACAGCGAGAGAGGGAACACAAGCAAGGGCAGAGGGAGAGGGAGAAGCAGGCTTCCCGCTGAGCAGGGAGCCTGATGCGGGGCTCGATCCCAGGACCCTGGGATCATGACCTGAGCCGAAGGCGGATGCTTAACGACTGAGCCACCCAGGCGCCCCCATATTCTTCTTCTTATTATTACTGAGTTCTGTCTCCTTTGCAAGACTATAAGCTCATTAATGGCTGGACCAGGTCTATTTGGTTTACAACTGTGTCCCTAGTACCCAATACGAAGTCTGCCACCCAAAAGAGAAGAGAGACCAACTCACCCCTGTCTCATAAATGGGGTTGTCAAACTCGGTTTCCACGGTGATCTGGCTGTAAGGATGGGAGTACATCAGGGGCAGGCGGAGGTTGGAGTAATAGCGACATCTGGAAAAGGGACAGCGAAGGAGATAGGAGTTACAATACCAGAGGAGGACAGCTAGCTGGGGCCCCTTCCCGGGCACGGGCACCTCCACAAATGCCAAGAAAGTGTGCAGAAACAGCCTCTTGCAGTGAGAATCCAAGTGGGTGAATACCAAAATCATAACTGCTCTCAACTTCTAAGCGGGTGACTGACAACTAAAACCTCAGTACCTCCCCTTCCTGCAGAGCGGGGGAGCTCAGCTGGTTTTCACCTGTAAGGTGATTCGAGCCCCTCTTTCACACAGAACGACAACAGCAATAACCAGCATTTACTGAGCACCAACTATATACCGTGTTGCCTCAGAACAACCTTCTCTGACTACCTATTTAAAAAGTGGTTCTTCTATTACCACACTCTATTTCTTTCCTTCATTGTGCTCAGCACAATGTGTTGTGTTATAATTTGTGTATTTCTGTGTATTACACTGTTTGTGTAACACAGTGTGTCATAATTTGTGTATTTCTCCTCTCCCCCTTCAACACTGTGGGATCCACAAAAACAGAAAAAAATGATCTTGGGCAGATGCCTGCCTCAGGGCCTTGGCACATACTGTGTGTGCCTGGAACCCTCCTCTTCCAGATATTTGCATAGGTTACTTGTTATTGCTTTCAAGTACTTACTCAAATGTCATGTCTCAGTGGGGACTCCTCTTCTAGAGTGCAATCATCACCCCTACTCCAGCTCCCTTTTGCTCCCTAATGTACGCAGTTGACCTTTGAACAACACAGGTCTGAACTGCACGGGTTGACTTATATGTGGAATTTTTGATAAATATAGTATGGTCCTGCAAGTGTATCTTCTCTTCCTTATGATTTTTTTTTTAAAGATTTTATTTATTTATTAGAGAGAGAGAGCACAAGTGGTGGGTGAGGGGCAGAAGGAGAGGGAGAAGCAGGCTCCCCGCTGAGCCAAAGGCAGATGCTTAACTGACTGAACCACCCAGGCGCCCCCCTTATGATTTTCTTCATAACGTTTTCTTTTCTCTAGTTTACTTCCTTGTAAGAATACGGTATTAGGGGCGCCTAGGTGGCTCAGTCTGTTGAGTGTCCAACTCTTTATTTCAACTCAGGTCATGATCTCAGGGTCAGGAGATCCAGTCTCATGTCAGGTTCTGCACTGGGCATGGGGCCTGCTGGAGGTTCTCTCTCTTCCTCTCTTTCTGCCCTGCCCCCAACACCCACACTCACACTCTCTCTCTCAAAAAAACAAAAAAAAGAATACGGTATATATTACATATAACATACAAAACACATGTTAATCGACTGTGTTCTCAGTAAAGCTTCTGGTCAACAGTAGGCTATTGGTAGTTAAGTTTTCAGGGAGTCAAAAGTTATATATGCAGATTTTCAACACACCGGTTGTCGGCACCCCTCACCCTCCTCACATTGTTCAAGAGTAAACCATATTTACTTTTCTTATTATACTTTACTTGCTGTCTATCTTCCTCGCATTAGAACCTGGGCACCACATAACAAAGATCTCCTTCGGTTTTGTCCACAGTGATGTTCCTAGAACTGTCCCCCACCCCCCAAACTGCCTGGCACATAGTAGGTGCTCAGTAGTTGTGAATTTGAATGAATTAGTGAATATCCTAGCCGTGGCTAAATACCTTCCTTCCTCACTGCAGGCAAGTTCTATGATCCCCAACACGCAGGACAATGTCTGGTATGTAGTAGATTGTCGACACCTTTGTGGAGGAAGTGAACGAATGAATGAATGCATGATGGGATCGATGTCAGTGTGTCTGTCTCTCCCACTAAACCACAGCTCCTTGAGCTCAGGGGTAGTGCCAGCTTATTTGCTGCTGCATGCTCAGCCCTCCTGCCTCAGATGGGGTGGGAGGTGCTCAGTAGGAGTATTTCTCCCAGCGCTGAGTTGAATCATGTCATCTCCAAGCTCCCAAATGCCACCAACCCCAAGCTACAGATGGAGACCCTGTCCTCCAGTGCACTGGTCATTGAGTGGATGGCAGTCCCCCACGCCCTGCCCCGAAGCCCCCTACCTGGTGATGTAAATGTAGGCTCCTCCCAGCAGTAAGGAGATGATGAGGACTGGGATGAAGATAGCCAGTGCCATATTTCCCCCTTCCAGCGATGTCTCGGCTGCTGCTTCTGCTACTAAACACATAAGCCAGTGAAGCCTTCTGGTCTCACACCCTCAACCCACATGGGCACCTGGCTCCCAGGTGGCCACCTGCCTTCCCAGTTCTGCACTCATTGAAAGAGCTGACATCGCAGAGCCTTAGTCGTTAGACCAGCATCCCCAGAGGGGAGAAGAGGCAGAGACTAGAGATAATGGGACTGGTTCTTTGCAACGGAGCCCAGACCCATCCTTGGGTGGGGTGGTCATGGGGCTACTGAGAATGACACTCTTTTAACCCCTGGTCATACCATGACCATTTTTTTGGGGGGGGGGAGTTGGCTTGGAGAAAATCTCATATGTGCTAACTGGGAAGGCAGATTTGCTTGACATTCCATGGGAAAGGGGAGCTCCTTGCACCCAGACTGACAGGTGCCTCCCAGAGCTGCTCTATCAGACCCTCCAGGAGAGGGCGCTGGGCAGCTGGGCCTGTTCTCAGTACTGCACCCCGCCCCTCACGACACCCAACTGTGAAGACCCAGTTTGGATTCTCAGAGGCCACGGTTGCACCCGCTTGGCCTCACCTGGAGCTCCCCCACCCCACTACCTTCCACATGCACAGCCTGAAGGGAGACCCCACATCTCCTCCGGACACCCGCACTCAGGTTTTCTCTGCCATTTCTCCACGGCCATGGCCCACAGAGTTTGGCTGCAGGCCAACCTATAATCCATTAACCGCCACTCTACGAAGTCTGAAAAATCGATGCTAACACCCATGACAAATGCATGAGCACAAAACATTACAACGGCTCTCATCATCTCTGAGCAACCCAGGCCTTTGAGACTTTCCCATGGTTCATTGGTTGCCGAAAGGCAACAAAGGGATGGCCTGACGCGACAGACAATAACACCCCGAAATGCTCTCCCTTTTCCCTGCAGAGTGACTCATACACGCTCCACCTCTGCACTTACGCTTGAGCCCGGCTCTGACTGTTGGGATTAAAATGTCATCTGTATGGGGCGCCTGGGTGGCCCAGTCGTTAAGCGTCTGCCTTCGGCTCAGGTCATGATCCCAGGGTCCTGGGATCGAGCCCCGCATCGGGCTCCCAGCTCCGCGGGAAGCCTGCTTCTCCCTCTCCCACTCCCCCTGCTTGTGTTCCCTCTCTATCTGTCCCTCTCTCTGTCAGATAGATAAATAAATAAAATCTTAAAAAAAAATGTCATCTGTTGGAAAGGAGAGCAACTAGTGACACGTAGTTCGCATGGCCCCACCTTCTGAGTGAATGATTTATTGTCAGAAAGCTAAATGGCTCCAAAAATGATAATAAAAACTCCTTAATTGGTTATCAGTTTTTTAAAATAAAAATGAAACCATTTATATATATATATATATATACATCTTATGACACCACAGCCCCAGTGAGTGGTTTGGTACCCAAGTGAATGGAGGTTATACAGAATATAGAATGTTTTATATATGGGAGGGGTTGAAAGGGAAGGGAACCACAAAATAAAAACCCAAACAAAATCCTGGCTAGCGTTTACCATCCATTCCCCATTAATAAATCTCACTTGGTAATTCTTAATAGGAGGAGAATAGAAAACAAGGAGGATACAGGGACAGGTAACTTGGGGAAAATGGACCACAGAGCATCTCCCAGGCAGACGGGGTGCTCAGCATGGAAGGTGAGGCATCACTGGATTTACTTCCCCTAAAGAGCACCATGTGGATGAAAAGTCATACAGCTGGGTTGTGCCTTTCTCAGGCATGTGGACCCTCAGATTTTCTTACCTCAAGAACAGAACTGGTGACAAATCCCTTTCAGGTCATAGTTAGGACCCTAGGTTGCAAATTTAATGGTTTGTTTCTTTTACAATGTTTTGTTTTGAAATTATCTTCAGCAGTGTGGAGATGGAATTTCTGCTTATTTTTTAAAGCGCCTGGAGAAGGACATGCAAGAACCTGCCCTTGTTTTCTGCTATTAGCTTGATTTATTGGATTTTTTTTTCATTATGGAACTCACCTTCTAATGCGTGTTCAAAGCTGTCTTGATTAACTGAAAGGGAAATTGGAAGCATTGGTTAATGTCGAGTGAATTCACTCTGCATGAAATGAAGCCAAAAAATTAAGAGCAAAAACCTGTGCCATGGTTTGCTGAAGTTAGTGATCAGCTTTGATTTATCTTGGGTTCCTGGAACTAGTGGAAGAGCCTGGACACATCCTTTCCTAGGTTCCTGAGAGATCATGACATAGATATGAAAGAAACAAGGACCATAGTAGTCCCTGTGATTAATTACTGAACACTCACCGCATGTCCGATACTGTGCCAAGAGCTTTCTGTATGTATCACTTACACCCACAACAATCTCACTAGGTGGATACTATCATCATCCCCATTTTACAGATGAACAAACAGAGGTTCAGAGAAGTGAAGCAATTTCTCCGATCTCACACAGCTTCTGAGGGATGAAGGCAGTCTTTAAATCCAGACTGCTTGTCTTTCCCCAGCTTCTGCTCTTAATTACATAGTTCTGCTCATTTTCATTGTTCCCTGTGTAGGTCAAAGGTTGATGAACAGTGAGGCTCAAGATAAAGCCCCACTTCCAAAATCCAGCCAGAGCTGAAACTGTTTTCCTGCTTTGAAATACGTGTTTATATGAACCTTTCTGGTTTTACTTCTATTCCATATTTATTTGACCATTATTCGTATTCCCTGTAAAACAATTTCCATTCACTGCCACAGACTAGAACTCTCCGGAATTCATTCATTTCCCCGTATTCCCCGTAAAACTTCTCTGGAAGTTCAAGAGGATGGGGACTGGCATTCCCAGGCTTTGGCACCAAAGACATCATGGTCGGTGAGCACAAAAATATACCCATGTGGATGGGTTTCCAAGAAGCAAAATCCCAGAGTGAAGGGCTTAGATAAACAGAGTGCATTATAAGGGGGTGGCAGGGGATGGCCACCAAAGGCCCGGCTGTATGCACGTCCTAATACAGAGACTTCTTAATTTGTGCCTCAGTCAAAGTCACTCTTTGACGTTGGTCATTACCATGTGATGCCAACAGAACCAATTGAAAAGCTAGCTTACTAACTAACTAACTACAGATTATCTCTGGAGCTAGGGCATCAGGAAAATGGGAAAAATGAGATAGATACTTCCCGCCCAAGACATGAGCTGGACTTGGGTTGAGTGTCTGGGAATGCATGAACTCCTACTGCATCTCAGAGCCGGAAGGAGACTTTGAACTTGTGTCCCTGGGAGTGTGGTCAATGGCCTCCTGGGGCACAAGTTAAAATGCAGCCTCCAGGGCCCCGCCTTTTCCACAAATAGAAACCGAGGTCAGGGAGGGAGGGTGGCTTGCCCAAGGTCACGCAGGTGGCCCACAGCCCAGCCAGGCTGAATCCCAGGGCCTCCGAGTCCCCATCAGGTGGCCTTACATTGACCCTCAGTCACTTAGCCAACTCCAGAACACAAAGCCATGCACCCCACTTTCTTTTTTGGAAGAGGAAGTGATTTGTCATATCTTTACAGAGTCGTGGGGTCTCAGGAGTGGAAGTGGAGGGGACAGAAAGATGGAAGCATCCCCTAAGATCCTTTCCTGCCAGAAACTCTGTCATGTCTGATGAAGAAAGTGAGGGGCAGGGGGCCACTCACCTGCTGGGCCTTCAAGGGCTCACCTATCTTAGAACATAGAAGTTTCAGGAATGCAAAACCGAGCACCTTTTATCTTTTCTTGTGTTTTTGATCATGTATTTTCTTTTTTTTTTTTAAAGATTTTATTTATTTATTTGGCAGAGAGAGAGCGAGAGCAGGAACACAAGCAGGGGGAATGGGAGAGGGAGAAGCAGGCCTCCCGCTGAGCAGAGAGCCCGGTGTGGGACTCAATCCCAGGACCCTGGGATCATGACCTGAGCTGAAGGCAGACGCTTAATGCGACTGAGCCACCCAGGCTCCCCTTGATCATGTATTTTCAACGGCAGTTCCATCTTCCCATCAGATTAGCAACATAAAAAAAAAACAAAACTGATAACATCTAGTGCTGGCAAGGATGTGGGGAAAAGGACATTATCACACATTATTAGAGGGGGAGCATGAATCACTACAGTTGCAGAAAAGAATCTGGCAAAACCCACAAAATCTCAACATCCACAGATCTTTGCCCACACCATCAATCCCCCTTGGAGGAATCTGTCATATCCGATGAGAAATGTCAGCACCCAAAGATTCATGGGCAAGGCCATTTCTGGGCAAAAGGAGACAAAACAAACAAGAAACCAGAAAAGAACTGGTAGATCCATGCACAGAGGAAGGAGCGGATGCATTAGGAGACATCAGAGTGCAATGCCCCATGGTAATTAAAAAGATAAGGCAGAGCTCCATTTTTTCTTTTTTCCAACTTGACAGATGTGTGTGATAAATGGGGGAAAGCAAAACACAAAATACGTATGGTATGAAGTGTTTTTTTACTTGGCAACAAACGAACACTCCCTGCCCCTCTCTTTGAAGTGTGTCTACTTGTGTAAGTCCAGGAAACTGGGGAGACAGGACACTCACAGGTGATCCAGACTGGCTTCCCGGGAACGAACGGATGGGATGGAGAAAGGAAGAGAAAAACAGCTAATGTTTCGTTGGCAACTTTGGTTTCTTCTATTTCTTGCATGAGATACTTTTGTAGCGAATCCAAAAAGGAACATAAATAATCAGGGGGCAGATCACATATAGATTCAAAAATGGCCCTTCCGTGGTATCCTTACTTAGATTTCTTAAAAACAACCCCTATTAATTTTCCTCCATGCAGAACACTTACCCACAACACCAGATCAACTTCTATGAACGTCCATGTAGCAGTTAGACGGTTTACAGGCAATCTTTCCCCCGGGGGAAAACATCCCAATGTTTGAACTCTACAAAGTGGATTTCCTGTGCTATCGAAAATAAATTCAAACACAGGGCTGGGCTTCGTCAAAAATTAAGGCAGGGAAGAGGAGGGAGGCAGTTGTCTTAAATCCCAGTGGCCGGGGACACCTGGGTGGCTCAGTCATTAAGCGTCTGCCTTTGGCTCAGGTCATGGCCCCAGGGTCTTGGATGGTCGCAGGGTCCTGGGGTCGAGCCCCGTATCGGGTTCCCTGCTCCTTGGGAAGCCTCCTTTTCCCTCTCCCACTCCCCCTGCTTGTGTTCCCTCTCTCGCTGTCTCTCTCTCTAATAAATAAATAATCTTAAAAAAAAAAATCCCAGTTGTCGATTTCTTATTTTTCTCTGCATTTCAACAGGATCTCTTGCCCTCTTATTAAGAACTGCTTCTATAAGGTCTTGGCTCTCACAGGATAGGCTCCTGCTTGATTCCAGGTGAGAATATGCAGCACCTCTATGCCAGTGTTTCTCACACTTGCCTGATGATCAGACTCACAGCTGGTGTTAGTGACCCCGGTTCCCTAGCTCCTGCCATAGACCCCATGAATCAGCATCTTCCCTGCAGGGGCCCAGAAGTCTGTTTATATTTGCACCCCACATTTAGAAACCACTGCCTTAAGTGATTCTCAAATTCAAAGTGCATTTGAGCAACCCACAACTTGTTAAAATGCCTATTTCAGGGTCCTATCCCTCAGTGATTCTAGTTTTGTAGATATGGGGTAGTAGATTCAAGAATTTGTTTCTCATAAGCAGTCTGGGTGATTCGAATGCTGAAGCGACTGGCAGATTGGAAGCTACCAGCCTAACAGCCTTAAAGTCCACCCTAAAGGCAGCTCACTGGGAAAGAGGCAGGGAATTTACAATCAGGAGACATGTGTTCAAATCCTGAATTTGTCTCATAATAGCTGTGTGGTTTTGGGAAAGTCACCTAACTTCTCTGGGCCTTTCCTTTTGTAACCATACAACGGGTAAGATACCTAATCTATCTTTTTTTTTTTTTTTAAGATTTATTTATTTGACACAGCGAGAGAGGGAACACAAGCGGGGGGGGCGGTGGGAAAGGGAGAAGCAGGCTTCCTGCTGAGCAGGGAGCCCGGATGCGGGGCTCGATCCCAGGATGTTGGGATCATGACCTGAGCTGAAGGCAGACGCTTAACGACTGAGCCACCCAGGCACCCTGATGCCTCATCTATTTTAGAGTGTAGTCCTGAGGTTTAAATGAGGCGATTCAAGAAAAAAAAAATTTAAAAAAACATAGGTAAATTTCACATAACATAAAATTAATCATTTTAAAGTGTACCATTTGGTGGCATTTAGCACATTCATGATGTTGGGCAGCCACCACCTCTATCTAGTTCTAGAACATTTTCATCACCTCTAAAAGGAAACTTTCTACCAACTAAGTAGTTACTCTCTCCACCCCAGCCCTGAGAGCCACCAATCTGCCTCCCGTCTCTATGGGTTTACTGATTTGGGATATTTCATATAAATGGAATCATAGGATATGTGATCTTTTGTGTCTGGCTTCTTTCCCTTAGCATCTTGTTTTCAAGGTCCATTCAGGCTGTGGCAGGTGTCAGAACTCCGTTCCTTTTCATGGCTGAATTATATTCCAGTATAGCTCGACCACATTTTATTTATCCATTCTCCACTTGATGGACATTTGGGTAATTCCCATCTTTTGTGAGCAATGCTGCTATGAATATTCATGTACATATGAATATTCATGTACAAGTGCTGCTGTGAATACTTGTTTGCAATTAATTTGTGCATCTACCTAGGAGTAGAAATGCTGGTTGGAAAACATAAAGCATTTGGGGATCCATTGAAGTTATGGGTTCCCAAGTAGAAACGTAAAACTCATGATGCCTCCGTCCCAGCTGGGGAGAGAATTCAGAACTTTCTGCCTCATTCTCAAAGGGGCATTAATGCCATAAAAGCCTAAGATCTATTAGCCTAAAGCATCGAACGGATTTAGGATATTGTTATTAATTGCATGCCTCAAAGACCCAGATAAATAGACCCAAATCTCACTGGCTATGTTGAAACTTAATTTCAGTGATGAGTGTTTCACTGATTTTATTTTATTTTATTTTATACTTTATTTTATTTTATTACATCACGTTAGTCACCATACAGTACATCATTAGTTTTTGATGTAGTGTTCCATGATACATTGTTTGCGTATAACACCCAGTGCTGCATGCATAACGTGCCCTCCTTAATACCCATCACCGGGCTAACCCATCCCCCCAACCTCCCTCCCCTCTAAAAACCTCAGATCACTGATTTTATTTATTTATTTATTTATTTATTTATTTTTTGTTTATTCATCAGCTCATTTGCATTTATTATTGGGTAAGATTGTGAGAGTCCCGGGGATGGGGGAGAAGAGAGAAAAAATTTTCTAGTGAGGTTAAACTTGTAGTTTTTCTTAGATCACTGATTTTAAAACAAGTTTTCCCTCTTCACCATTTCTGGGATGGGGGCGTGTTAATCCGCTGCCACCAGGTGGCGCTCACGATGGCCCAGTGCGCGCCGTGGTCCAGCGCACCATCATCAGCGTTTGGAGAGGGTGTGAGCAGCAGGGGAGACCACCCCAGAGGCAACAGGGGAGCCCTCGTAACCCCTGGGAACCAAGTGGTTGTGAAAACGGGGTGCAGGAGGCAGGGAATGTTTAAGCCATGTAACCGAAGCAGGAGTGCAAAGTAGAATGGCTCTCCGTTATGATAAAAATCGAAGCTCGCAACAGAGCTTTTAGTTAAGTAGAAATAAAAATGCTAAGCCGGGAGAAGGCATTGTGCCATCGTTTAATTGGCAGCATTTTTTTTTTCTTTCTCAGTAGTGCAGAAAATAATGGTTGGTTTCTTAGATGTCATGAAATACAGTAGATGGACTTTTTAGAGCAAATTGAGAATCATAACAAGAAGCCAGACCTGACATCTCCCGGTCCCCATCCCTGGGTGGTGAGTAGGTTTCTTTACCTTTACAAACGGGCAGGGGCCCGTTCCAGTGGGATGGCTGTCCCAGGATGCATCGAATGGTCACTTCGCCCATGAGCTCAAAGCCTTCGTAGCACATGAAGGTGAGGGACTCTCCTGGCAGGTAGAGCCTCTTGTACAGGATTTGGTAACCGTTCTCGGGCAAGCCAGGGTTGTCACACGCCAGGGACTCTTCCGCTGAAATACAAGCCCAAAGCAGCTCTGATGAGATCACGCAAATCCTGGGGGACTCCCACTCACAGCCTGTCTGATCTGGCTTTGGGCAGCCTCACCAGGACCATCTCTCTGCGTTCTCCTCACCTCCAGTGGTTTCCCATTCCCCAAATTCACCTCCCTGTCTCCCACCTCTGGCCGCACATTATGCATGGGCACCATCGAATGTCCCAGGATGTGGAATCTGGCTTAAAATCTGTGTTCCACTACGTACTCGCTGTGTGACCTCCAGCAAGGGCCACAGCCTCTCTGAGCCTTGGTTTTCCTCATCAGTAAAATATGAATAACAGTGGTATCTGTCTCATAAGGATTTGGGAGATTAAATAAGATCATGAATATAAGGTGTTTAGCATGTTCTTGGCAGGCTGTAGGTGTTCAGTCAATGATGGATGGCCGTGTTGTCAAATTATGAAATATTCTTCTTGTTCCTCATCTTACACCTTACCTGCCCAGCCAGCCTGGTTAAGTCTGGTGTTTCAGTACTCAGTCCTCATTTCTCTGCCTCCAAGGAGCCTTCCCTGGTGCCCTCCACCCCAATAGAATCACTAATCTTCCTAGTTCTTCCTCCACGCCAGCACTGAACACACTGCATTGTATCTATTATTTAATATATGTTTTCCTCGCTGGAGATGAACCTGTTAGGACGTGCTTGAAGCTCAGGGCCTGCTCTATAAGGACTATCATATTTGATCCTAAATTATACAGTAGGAGCATCATAAGTGACACCTGGCAGCTTAAGACATACTGCAGAGTTGAATCCATCCCTGGTTTAACCTATTCCAGGCTCTGGACTCCAACTTCCCTGCCTGTTACATAAATGGACTGGACCAAGACCCCATCTTTAGCTGAAATGTGGCTGGGCGATGACATTCCCACTCCAGCGATGTACCCACACTTTGAAATAAGATCATCTAAAGCAGGTTTTCTCAACCTAGATGCTACTGACATTTTGGGCTGGGTAATTCCTTGTGGTGGGGCCTGACCTCTACCCGCTATTTCCTTATTGTGACAACCAAACATGTCTCTAGGAATTGCCATTGACAAATGTGTCCCGGGAGCAGTGTCACCCCTGGTTGAGAATCACTGATCTCGGCTCTTAAACAATTCCGTGAGAACTCATCCTGTTCTTTCTCAGGAGTACAACTGAGTTGGACTGGCGGTCTTAGAAACGATCACAAACCTAGCCTCGTTTCTATTTTCCTCCCATTTCTCCCCTCTCCTGAACTATAGGGGAAAATGTACATTTTTTGGGAGCACATTTGAACAAAATGTCAAAATCAGCTTCCCCAGGTATTGCTATGAATGGTTTGTAAGATATCCCACAAATAACGAAGCGCTGAAACTCTGTGGTCATTAGCAACTGGCGGTAGCCGGGCACTCACTGTATGCCACACACGTTGTTATGAGCTTCTTTCTATATTTATGGCTGGAACCATCATCCTTTTTGATGAGGACGCCGGTTTGTTCAAAGTCACCCAGCTAGCAAGTGGCAGATCCGCTGGGTTTGAAATCCAGTGCATTTTTTTTTAATTTTTTAAATTTATTT